TTGGTCGCTACCCGGAATCGAACCCGGGACCTTTGAATGAGAGGCCAACACCTTAACCTCTAGGCCACGAGAGCCCCCAGACTCTAGAACTAGATATCTAGTATTAGTACTAGCCTACTGCTGTCGACAGCTGATCTACCTCTTTCTCTACCTCAAACTACCATCACTACCTTTATTTTGCACTTCATCATCTGAATCGGAGTTCATTAAATCATACATGGATTCAAAGTCTCTAAAATTACGCGCCGTTTTCAATCCCCATGTGCATGAGCATCACGTTAGCGTCTGGTCGACTTGGGCCGCCCGATGGGGAAGACTTGGGCCGCCCGACGGCAAAACAAAACCCAGAACAGGACAAAGGGAACTCTCGGTCCTAAAATAGGCAGACCTTCAAGGGAAATCATTCTAATAAAGAGAAACTGCCCTCAGTGGTCAAAGGGATGTTACTCTAGTAATTGGTTTACGCCGCGGCCGCAAATGTGTCGGCAATTAGCAGAAATAAAGACTGTACATAAGAACAAGTTAATGTCCCCCCTTTGGGAATGGCCTAAAGACACTTCAGTCAGTGGCACCGCCCCGGGAGTGAACCACAAATCTCAACACACAAGTACTGTCAAGTGACCACAAATCTCAACACTGTCAAGTGACCACAAATCTCAACACTGTCAAGTGACCACAAATCTCAACACTGTCAAGTGACCACAAATCTCAACACTGTCAAGTGACCACAAATCTCAACACTGTCAAGTGACCACAAATCTCAACACTGTCAAGTGACCACAAATCTCAACACTGTCAAGTGACCACAAATCTCAACACTGTCAAGTGACCACAAATCTCAACACACAAGTACTGTCAAGTGACCACAAATCTCAACACTGTCAAGTGACCACAAATCTCAACACACAAGTACTGTCAAGTGACCACAAATCTCAACACACAAGTACTGTCAAGTGACCACAAATCTCAACACACAAGTACTGTCAAGTGACCACAAATCTCAACACTGTCAAGTGACCACAAATCTCAACACACAAGTACTGTTAAGTGACCACAAATCTCAACACACAAGTACTGTCAAGTGACCACAAAATTAAGATCAAGCTACAAGTACTGTTTTCGTAAGAGTTTTACAACACTTGCAACACAATAAGGTCATATAAGTGCCGAAGAATAGATTACGTGTTACAAGAGAGTAACATACAGAAAAAAGAAGGAGGGGAGATAAGAATGATAGATGTTTTATAGGAAAGAAGAAGCAAACCACACCAGAGCACCTGCCAACCACCCACACAAGTACAGTCAAGAGACCCCCCACATGTCCCGTTAGGACAGACTCCCCCCCCCTCCCCCGGTGCTCACAATCCTGGACTTGCTCTCCTCTCTCTCCATATCGCGCGCCGCGGTGAGCTCTGTCAGCTCTGCCTCTAGCGTGGAGATCTTTGCCCTCAGCTGTGTGTCCGAGTCTATGGTGGACAGTCGCTGCTTGGTGATCTCACTCTCCATGTCTTGTAGCTGGGGAGAGAGAGAGAGAGAGAGAGAGAGAGAGTGAGAGAGAGAGTGAGTGAGTGTGTGTGTGAGTGTGTGTGTCCGAGTCTATGGTGGACAGTCGCTGTTTGGTGATCTCACTCTCCATGTCTTGTAGCTGGGGAGAGAGAGAGAGAGAGAGAGAGACAGAGAGAGTGAGTGAGTGTGTGTGTGAGTGTGTGTGTCCGAGTCTATGGTGGACAGTCGCTGTTTGGTGATCTCACTCTCCATGTCTTGTAGCTGGGGAGAGAGAGAGAGAGAGAGAGAGACAGAGAGAGTGAGTGAGTGTGTGTGTGAGTGTGTGTGTCCGAGTCTATGGTGGACAGTCGCTGTTTGGTGATCTCACTCTCCATGTCTTGTAGCTGGGGAGAGAGAGAGAGAGTTTTTTTTAACGGCACTTGCAACACAATAAGGTCATATAAGTGCCGAAGATTACAGTTAGTTTATGTAGAGGTTTTACGGCGCTCGCAACTGCATAAGGTCATGTGAGCGCCAAGGTGTGGATGCCAACAGAGAAGTCCATACAGGGAATCAGGCTTACTCTGCTCACCTCTCTAGCCTCAACAGCACAAAGTCTGCTTCGACTATCAAGGCACCCCGGAAAGAGCGGGTCACAACAGTGTGATAAACTTACAAAAGAAGTAGAGGAAAATGACAATAGTAAGGAGTAGGAAAGAAAAAGCAGCAGTTCCCTGCTGTAGTTCAGGCACAGTTATGAGCATGACATTGTTAGATCAGCCCATTTACTATAGAACTGTGCACTAGAACGAGAAATGTCCCCCCTTTGGGAATGGCCTAAAGACACTTGAGTCAGATCCGAGGAGTTACAAGAGAGCGACAAACACAAAAAGGAAGGAGAGAAAAAGACAATCTCTGTTTGACAGGAAACAAATCCCAAAGACACTTGGGTCAGTAGCACTGCCCTGGAGAGGCTACGGGTTTCTACAACTGAATTGTATCTTTGTGTCATTTTCAAATTGTATAAAAGTATTTCCCAGACGTCCGTTAGGTAAAGAAAAGTGTCCAGTCATCTGTGTCAGTTCATGAGCAGCAGACATCACAGGGCACCTCACGGTGGTGCCTCAAGCCTCCTCTCACCACCAGTAGGCAACCACTTTGCTGTGGTTAGATCATGTCTGCACGGATTCCTAGACACATCTGACCCACAAATACAAAACACAAAACACAAAAACTCCACACACAGGAGTGAAACATGCGTACAGCACACATCCACCACACACAGGAGTGAAACACGTGTACAGCACACATCCACCACACACAGGAGTGAAACACGTGTACAGCACACATCCACCACACACAGGAGTGAAACACGTGTACAGCACACATCCACCACACACAGGAGTGAAACACGTGTACAGCACACATCCACCACACACAGGAGTGAAACACATGTACAGCACACATCCACCACACACAGGAGTGAAACACATGTACAGCACACATCCACGACAGTCGACAAGAACAAAACGTCCAATAGTGACAAACTTGTTTCTCGTAATGGAGATCTTTGGACGAGGCCAGCTCTAAGTTTTCCAGCGCTCGCTTCTCGGCTTCCTCCAGCTTGAGCCGCAAGTCCTCGATCTGAAACACCAGACAGGAAGTGGACATCTTCGGTGAAGGGAGAGACACAGGACTCGCAGTTTTAGCAAAAGTTTGACCCCATTTTAGTTTTCGTAAGAGTTTTACGGTACTTGCAATACACAATAAGGTCACATAGGTGTTACATGAGAGTAACATACACAAAAAGGAAGGAGGAGAGATAAGGACGACAGAGGTTTGATAGGAAAGAAGGAGCAAACCACACCAGAGCACCCACCAACCATCCACTTACAGCATTTGCAACACCAAGAAAGTCATGAAAGTGCTGAAGATTCGAGGTATTAATTGAGAGTAAGAAAGACAGAGAGAAGAGGAGAGATAAGGACGACAGATGTTTGACAAGAGGAGAGATAAGGACGATAGATGTTTGACAAGAGAAGAGATAAGGACAATAGATGTTTGAGAAGAGGAGAGATAAGGACGACAGATGTTTGAGAAGAGGAGAGATAAGGACGACAGATGTTTGACAAGAGGAGAGATAAGGACGACAGATGTTTGAGAAGAGGAGAGATAAGGACGACAGATGTTTGACAAGAGGAGAGATAAGGACGATAGATGTTTGACAAGAGAAGAGATAAGGACAATAGATGTTTGAGAAGAGGAGAGATAAGGACGACAGATGTTTGAGAAGAGGAGAGATAAGGACGACAGATGTTTGACAAGAGGAGAGATAAGGACGATAGATGTTTGACAAGAGAAGAGATAAGGACAATAGATGTTTGAGAAGAGGAGAGATAAGGACGACAGATGTTTGAGAAGAGGAGAGATAAGGACGACAGATGTTTGACAAGAGGAGAGATAAGGACGATAGATGTTAGAGTACAGGAGAGATAAGGAGAACAGGAGAGATAAAGACAACAGACGTATGAGTAGAGGAATTGAAGTGATCAACTATCCACTCAATCACTCCTGCTGACAAAAGATGAAAACAGCACTGAAAGAACGGAAGACAGGAGTGCTACACTGAAAGAACTGAAGACAGGAGTGTTACACTGAAAGAACGGAAGACAGGAGTGCTACACTGAAAGAACGGAAGACAGGAGTGCTACACTGAAAGAACGGAAGACAGGAGTGCTACACTGAAAGAACGGAAGACAGAAGACGCACGCACGCACACACACACACACACACACACACACACACGTACACACACACACACACACACACACACACACACAAACACGTACACACACACACACACACACACACAAGAACACACACACACACACACACCAATGTCTGAACACACAGACACACAATTACACTGCTATTGCATCCTGCAACCACGTACTATAGCAAAAGTTAAATAAAAAGATGAAAAGAAGTGGAAGAAGCAGACCACACCTGAGTGTCCGGCCCACACTGACCTGTTTGTGGAAGCACACACTGACCTGTTTGTGGAAGCTCTCCCTCATCTGATCCGTCTGCTTTTGATTAGACGCCAGTTCCTCGCAGTCTTCAACGATCTTAGCATTCAGGTTGGAGATCTATTAAAGTACAACATTCCACCCAACATATCTTAGCATTCAGGTTGGAGATCTATTAAAGTACAACATTCCACCCAACATATCTTAGCACACAGGTTGGAGATCTATTAAAGTACAACATTCCACCCAACATATCTTAGCACACAGGTTGGAGATCTATTAAAGTACAACATTCCACCCAACATATCTTAGCACACAGGTTGGAGATCTATTAAAGTACAACATTCCACCCAACATATCTTAGCACACAGGTTGGAGATCTATTAAAGTACAACATTCCACCCAACATATCTTAGCATTCAGGTTGGAGATCTATTAAAGTACAACATTCCACCCAACATATCTTAGCACACAGGTTGGAGATCTATTAAAGTACAACATTCCACCCAACATATCTTAGCACACAGGTTGGAGATCTATTAAAGTACAACATTCCACCCAACATATCTTAGCACACAGGTTGGAGATCTATTAAAGTACAACATTCCACCCAACATATCTTAGCATTCAGGTTGGAGATCTATTAAAGTACAACATTCCACCCAACATATCCAGGGCTGCCAACCCATCTCCAGGGTTTTTAGTAATGACCATGAAGAAAATTTGTAATTTCCCATAAAAATTCGTAATGGTGCTCTCACTTTCAAAAGACTATATTACAACGGACAATGCTAGTACTTGAGTACGGTATTATTGTGGACAAGGCTAACTCACGCAAAGTGGGCCAGCTGTTCCTTTGTTTTAGGGGTGGCGGGGGTTGGTTTAGAGATTGGCGGTTTTCTGACAATTGGCAGACCATTTACAGGTCTGCACTAAGACTTGTCAAATAAAAAAGAGCCAAAAATATATTTTTTATAGCCAAAAATCTGCCGATGGTAAAAATCGTAATAAATCGCCTTACTATCGGAATTTCGCAGAGAGGCTAAAAAATCGCAATGTTTACGAAAAAACCGGAATGGTTGGCAGCCCTGCATATCTTAGCATTCAGGTTGGAGATCTGTAAAAGTACAACATACCACACAACATATC